TAGGGCCATTCTCACTCCTAAGGATCATTCCAGCTGTATTTCCTCAAAGATAGATTTGTCTGTTCTTCTGGCAGTCCATTTTATATTCAATATTTTTTGCCAACACCAAAATTAAAATGCATCAATTCTTTAGCACCTTCCTTTTTGACTGTCCAGGAATAACACACATTAAGGCTATTGAAGAGACAATGATTTGAGTCTGGAACACCTTACTCTTCAAAGTGCTATCTTTGCTCTTTAACACCTTAAAGTAGTCTTTTACAGCAGATTTGCCCAATGCAATCCATCATTTGATTTCTTGACTGCTGCTTTCGTGGGTGATGATTATGGATTCAAGTAAAATGAAACTTTGGCAACTTCAATCTTTTCTGTTTATCATGATGTTGCTTATTAGTCCAATTACGAGGGCGGTGTGGTAAATTACTTAGTGTGGCTTTTCTACCCATAAGTCTCGGTAAACTCAGTGGTGGAATGAGCAACTGAGGAGCTCCCGATTATAAATGTCATCCACCTGGTGTATTTCTGTTGGGCATGGCACAATGCAACGTTCTGGGAGGCTCACTCTCTCTCAGATGCTTAGAATTCTAATGTTGTGATTGGTTGGTTTGGCCGCTCTGCCGGGCTCAAAAGGAGGCCTCCTAGAGGCAGAACTCTCTCTGACTGCTGGTTGAGGAAGACGTGCTGCTGAAACACACACATGCTTCTGAAAGAGACACGTGCTGCTGGGAAAGAGAAGCAAGAGACACGCATTGCTGAGTGAGATACTGAGGGACACTCACTGTTGGGAGAGAGACTGTGAGAGACTGTTAGGAGAGAGACTGTTGCCTGGGAGAGAGACTGCCCGTTTTTCCTGAACTTGAATTGTAGCCTGATGTTTCCCTAATAAACTCCATAATCTGTGAGTTCTGTGTGGCCACTGCAGCGAATTATCGAACCCAGGAGAGAGGTGGTGGGTGTTTTGGGAGGAATGGTTGGAGAAAGGGCTGGAGTGAGGCAGCATGTCTGGCTTCGCAGGAATAGGCCTTGATGGTGACTCTGTCTTCCTCTTGTGGGGTTAGAGGAGATCAGAACATGTGGCCTCCTTGTCCTTTTTGCAGTGAGGATTTCTGTTTTCTTATGTTGAGGTGTAACCCATACTAAAGGCTGTAGCCTTTGATCTTCATCAGTAAGTGCTTCAAATCCCCTTTACTTTCAGCCAGCAAGGTTGTGTCATCTGCATATCAGAGGTTCTTAATGAGTCTTCCTGGAATCCTGCTACTGCCTTCTTTTTCATATAGAACATGCAGTATGTTCTGGTATTTTTCGCTTTCAGCCAAAATCCATCTGACATCAGCAATGACATCCCACATTCTACATCCACTTCATAATCTGGCTTCAATTACTGGCAGTTCTCTGTCTATGTACTGCTGCAACAATTTTTTAATTACCTCCAAGAAAATTTTATTTGCATATAATATTATTCAATAATTTCTGTATCCTTTTGGATCACCTTTCTTTGTAATAAACACAAATATGGATCTCTTCCAGTCAGTTGGCCAAATAGTTCTCTTCCAAACTTCATGGCATAGATGAATGAGCGCTTCCAGCTTTGCATCTATTTGTTGAAAAATCTCAATGGGTATTCTGTCCATTATTGGAGACCTGTTTTTCACCAATTCCTTCAGTGAAACTTGAATTTCTTCCATCAATACCATCGGTTCCTCACCTTATGTTACCTCCTGAAATGGCTGAATTCTTTTTGGTAGAGTGACTGTGTGTATTCCTTCCATTGTCCTTTGATGATTCTTGCAATCTTCAATATTTTGGACAGAAAATCCTTCAATATTGCAATCTGTGGCTTGAGTTTTTCTTTAGTTCTTTCAGCTTGAGAAATACCAAGCATGCTCTTCTGTTTTGATTTTCTAACTCTAGGTGTTTGCACATTTCTTTATAATACTTTACTTTGTCTTCTTGAGCTGCCCTTTGAAATGTTATCTACAAATCTTTTACTTCATCATTTAATTTGCTTTAGCTACTCTCTGTTCAAGAACAAGTGTTAAAGTCTCTTTTGACCTCCATTTTGGTCTTTTCTTCCTTTCCTATCTTTTCAATGACCATTTGCTTTCTTCATGTATGATCCTCTCACAGTTTGTCTGGTCTTCAGTAACTGGTGTTCAATGCATCAAATCTGTTACTAAGATCGTCTCTAAATTCAGGTGGGATAAGTTCAAAGTTGTATTTTGTGTCCTGTGGACTTGTCTTAATTTTCTTCAGCTTCAACTTGAACTTGCATATGAGCAACTGATGGTCTGTTACACACCTGGCCTTTGGTCTTGTTCTGATAGCTGATATTGAGCTTCTCCATCATCTCTTTCCACAGATGTAGTTGATTTGATTCCTGTGTATTCCACCTGGCAAGGTCTATGTGTATAGTAACTTTTTTGTATTGTTGAAAAAAGGTATTAGCAATGAATAAGTCCTTGGTCTTGCAAAATTCTATCATGCAATCTCTGGTGTCATTTCTACCACCAAGGCCATATTTTTAAACTACTGATGCTTCTTCTTTGTTGATAACTTTCACATTCCCATCATCAGTAATTACCAATACACTTTGATTGCTTGTTTGCTCAATTTCAGAAGTTGGTAAAAATCTTCAGTTTCTTCATCTTTGGCTTTAGTGGTTGGTGTGTAAATCTGAATAATAGTTGTATTAATCAGTCTTCCTTGTAGGCATGTGGATATTATCCTATCACTGACAGCATTGTACTTCAAGGATAGATCTTGAAATGTGCTTTTAGACAAAGAATGCAAGGCCATTCCTATTAAATTTATCATTCCTGGCATAATAGACCATATGACTGTCACATGCAAAAGGCCCACTACCAGTTAATTTTAGCTCACTAATGTCTAAGATATCAATCTGTATGCTTTCCATTTCATTTTGACAACTTCTAATTTCCCTAGCTTCATACTTTGTACCTTCCGTGTTCTGAGTATTAATGGATGTTTATAGCTGTTTCTTCTCATTTTGAATCATGACACATCAGCAAATGAAGGTCCTGAAAGCTTTACTCCATCCATGTCATTAATGTTAATTCTACTTTGAGGAGGCAGCTTTTCCCCAGTCGTATTTTGAGTGCTTTCTAACCTGAGAGGCTCATCTTCTTACACTATATCAGATAATAGCTCATTGCTATTTATAAGCTTCTCAATTGCCAGGTTTTTTTCAGAACTGGACCACCACATCCTTCTCCTAGTCTGTCTTAGTCTGGAGGATCTGCTGAAATCTTTCCAGGATTGCTGACCCTGCTGGCATTTGAAATACTGGTGGCATAGCCTCCAGCATCACAGGAACATGCAAGCCCCCAGAGTAGAACAAACTGACAAAAGGGTGGTGATAAAAATCTGTATCACCTCATTTTTTTTTTTTTCCTTTTCATTTCATTCAAATTACCTTCCATTACTGCAAAGCCATGGTTTGAACAAAATATTCAAAGCAGGAAATAATTTGGTCTTGGAAGCATTAAGGATTACAGAAAAACAGAAACCCCTATGGAACTGTTCTACTCTATAACATATGAGGCCGCATGAGTTGGAGATCGACTCGACAACTACTAACAACAACCAAGCTGAACATGACGTGACTTCATGGATGACAGAAAAATTAAATAACTTTAAAAATGTTAGATCTAGATTTTATCAGAAATGATAACCAAAGAACATTCTGAGAAGCAACTGTGATAAATTTTATATAAGCACCTGGGAGTTAGCAAGACTGACTAGGTTAACTTACCAGTCTCACCACTTACTAGTCAGAGACGCCTGTGTAGGTTACGTGACCTTCCCAAGAATGAAATATTTCATCTGTAATACCTGGATGATTATAATATTTAAATCACAAAAGTGTTGTGAAGATTGAAAAAGCTAATCTCTTTGAGCATTCCGTTTGGCACAAAGAATTGAGGATATTAACGGCCGTCTGAGAAGCAAGATAGGTACTAATATTCCCATCCCTGTCATCCCTGCTTTATAGATATAGAAACAGCACCTCAGAATAGTTGTTTATTTAAGGCACCACAACTAGCAAATGAGGAACTCTGGATTGAAATTCAGATTTAGCATCTAGATTTATTCTCCTTCTCTATATTAAACTTCTTCCCTAAATCTACACTTTGGTCTTTATACGTGTTCAAAATTTTTATAGAGTCACAAGTTAAAATGGCTTCTCAGTGTCAAGAGTCAAACAAAAATTAGTCATAAGACCATTTACTAGCAACAACTTCATGATGAGTTAGAAACGTAAGCAAGTTTTCAGACTCAATGGCAACCACCACAAGCATGAATAACAATACTTATCAATATGAGTTAGCAACATCCATCTATCTAAATAAGAAGCTTTCTGTGACCAACTATTCCAAAACAAAAGGGAAATTAAATGTGATTAACCAATCAAAGCAAAGGTCAGGATACTTACTCATCTAAGCTTAAAAAGGGTATTGTAACTCTGTAAACTCAAGGCTCCGCACCATTTGCAGTTTGGAGTGCCTCCTGTTCACAAATAATTTCTCACTTAATAAACTTTGTTAACTTTAATTGACTTGATTTATGTTTTCTTTATCACATATGTTATCTGAATTATAAACGTTTTTGGTTAAACCTTTATCAGACCAGGAGCAATAAACTTATGTAAAAATGAAAGATACCAAAGTAATGTAATTTTTTTAAAAAATGTTTTAAAACCAGTGGTTTAAAAGATAACATCATCCAAGATAAATCTTAACTTTGAATTCAATAGACAGCTCCTCAGATTTATCAGGAAATTGGTTAAAGTGATGGTGGCTATCAAAATAATCTGCTTTTTCATTTTCATTAATATCTTATTGCAGATATTAATCTAAATTGCAATACTGCACTAAATATACTTGAAAAATGATCACAACAAAAAATGCAGATATGCCAATTAAAGCAACAATTATTTTAAGGTGGAACAAAAAAGAAACCCTGAATATTGATGCTCTTACCGCAGCTTGCCGATGAGTATTAGACAATATACCATGAATCTTCACTTTGTCTTTTTCCATTTGGTCTATGTTCACCCACAAATCCCGGCTGGCAGAATCAGATGGACCATATATCCGAGATATGTAGTAATTGTGATCTGTGTCCTCCTGTAAAAATAACAAAACTAATGTATCAAGAATGGAGACACTGTCCCAACAATTGTTAAATATACACATTCCAATTAAAATTATAAGCATTTGTATTCTTCACAACAGCCAAACAGGACAGTAGGAAAGTCCTAGACAACAACACCTTTTTTGCCCTGCACACATGACAGGGACAGCCTGCTGCGATGGAGGAGGAGGCTGAGAAACCACAATGATCATTTTACCAACAGAGGCTAAAGGCTCCCACACTACATTGTTGGTTGTCTTTATGGGGAATTTGCATCAGCCAAAAAGATGCAATTCAGCAAACAAGCCATGGCAGCAATTTTAGCGGTGGCTTTATGACACTGCAAAATTTTTGCAAAAGACCTGGAAATGTTTCCCAGACATGCAAAAAAGAAGCACAATTAACACTCAAGATGTGAAGCTCTCAGCCAGGAGGAGTATTTCACTGCTGAAATACACCACAAAGAAAACATGAAGAGATGTTCAGTTTAACCTAGAACAAAAGGCAAAGAAGAATAAGAAATTTGAGGGTTGAAACAATGATTCAAAGGAAATGGTAGAGGCTGGAGTAGTAAAAAGTGGAATTAGACTTATTGACATTTGGAAAAGCCATCTTCAGCAGGTACAAAATGAGGAAAAAAAAAAAAAAAACATTGTCAGTGAGAGGATTTGACTCATAGAAACTCTGTAGGGAAGCGGACAACTCATCTTTCTTTCACTGAGCAGCTGTTGGGTTTGTACTCACAATCTTTTGGTTAATAGCAGAATATTTTAACCACTATGCCACCAGAGCTCATTTCAGCAGGCAGAGGTACCCAGAAATATGTACTGCCCCAAAGGGGATTTTGAAGATCTAAGTGGAGATTGTTGTTGTTGTTGTTGTTTTGTGCCGTCGAGTCGACCCCGACTCATAGCGACCCCTCCTTGGGTTTCCGAGGCAGTATCACTACAGAAGTAGATTGCCCCATCTTCCTTCCAAGGAGTTTAGAAGGAAAAAAAAAGGCCAAGAGGCTTTTTGCCTAGGATTCTCCAAGTCATTGACTTCAAAAACTAACTGCAAAGAGGACAGGAAATTCTTAAGTAAGGTACTCCCACGTCTGCTCAAGCATACAAGAAAGGTGCTGTCTGTGAATGATACATTTTGGAAGTATTATCTACTGGAATTATTAAAATTGTATTGGCAATTAAACATGGTCAACTTTTTAGAGCCCAAAAAAGCCAATCAGGTTAAATAATTTCTAGGGGAGGTGATTAGGAATCCTCTTTAAAAGAAAATTGTTAAATAACGAAACTCATTGGTAAATGTATACTCTATATACAGTAGTCTCTTACTACCCCAGTAATGTTTGAAATCTAACTGCTGCCCAAACAGAAAGGTCAATTTTAGACCAATCTACTGAAAGCCTGAGTTGTAATTACTACTGTGCACCAACAAATTCAAACTTCTGTTCTTGAAAAAAACAGTGATATCAGGGCTTTCAGTTCATAGCACTATAAATGGAGATAATACATTATTTCCTTTAACTTGAGCTATTAAATTTTACTTTTATTGTAATTCTCATCGATATTACCATGATGCCTGTCACAAAATCTTTATTTTCCATTCAAGGAAGAGATTTAAATGTTTAAAAAGACAATTTCGATAGGGAACACTAGAAAAATCATATAATTCTTGATTAATTCTGGGTTCAATTAATATTTTTTGTCATGAAATGAAATTGTACTTAATCAATTTAAAAAAGTTTTACACATAATATACATTAAAAACATTCAAGTAAATGTAAGAAACGTGTTTAATGAAAAGAAGGTCTATGATTTTAATAATGAAGTTTGGATGTGAATTTTGGCTAATTTATTAATTAAATTCTTACTAAATAAAAAGCAGTTCTTATCAAAATCCAGTCAAAATAAAAACCCCTGTAGACCTTTTCACAAGTTATTAGGCAAAATACATAAAAAACTGATTACATAAAAGTAAGACCATTCTAAGTAGTATTCTAAATAGATTTTTCCCTCAAGACTCAATGAAAAAATATGACCCTTAAAGTAAATGCTGATAAAAGTAAGTAATTGTTTTTAACAATATAGATATTTTTTAAATATAAAAATCCTAAGCATAATTCCAATTAAATTCTTGTTGTTGTTGTTGTTTTGTGCGATTGAGTCGGCCCCGACACACAGCAAGCCCTCCTTGAGTTTTTGAGGCAGTATCACTACAGAAGTAGATTGCCCAACCTTTCTTCCAAGGAGTGGCTGGTAGATTTGAACTGCCAGGTTTCTGGTTAGCAGTCAAATGCCTTAGGCATTATGCTACCAGAGCTCCTAATTCTAGTTATCACATAAAATTTATGTTGATACCTATGGTGAAAGAACAGAAAGTTTTGCAGAGAAAGAAAAATAAAGAAGATACATAGAAGCAGAAACAAAAATCACACAGTTCAAGAAAGCTTTGATATTCTGCTGGTTTTCAGTCCTTCCTTCCAGAACACCATCATACTGATTGTGCTTTTTGAGAGTAAATGACATTGGAACTGTCTGGTACACCACACGATCCTCAGCCTATACAACTATGAAACCAGAAGAACTAGAAGGTGCCTGGCTACCACTGTCAACTACTCAGAGGGGGGTCTATGTAGGAGAGCGTGGATAGAGTGGGAGCACATTATCCTGGATAATGTGGAACAAAACTCAAAATGATTTAAAAGAAAAAAAAAAAAAAAAAGGGACCAGGCTTGCTGGTCTGATAGAGCCTGATGGCACCACTGAGATTATGGCCCTTAGCTACACTTCAGGTCTGGAATTGAACCCACTCCTGTGGCTTCCAGCCAAACAAAAGACAGGCATATGAGCTGAACATTTACATTAGGTAGATACACTCCTGGGATAGATCAATCATGGGAGAACAGAAGGGCTGTGTATGTACAGGGAGACAGTTTGGGGGCAGGGGGCAGGAGTGCATGGGAGGGAAGGACACAGGGAAGAGGTAATTATGGGGACGAAGTGAGATGGGAGCTGTTGTATTGTGGGAAATTGCAGTCAATGTCCTGAGACAAAGTGTATGTGAGCTGTGTATGGAAAGTGAATTTGCTCTGTAAACTTTCACCCAAATCACAAAAAAAAAAAAAAAAAAAAAGAATGTTGCAATTGTGTCTCTGACATGCATTCAACTCCTCCCCAGTATCTGCATGCTGTGCTGTTCATGTGAGGCTGACCTCACCAGAAGCTTCATAGGTGGGTTCTCTCTTGCTTTTAAGCACAAGTCAGTTTTCATGTTATTTCACTGCAATGATGGTTGTTGAGCAGGCATTGGCACATAACCTAACATGGACCAATCAATAAGACATTCAGGAGTTTTGGTAGAAGGAGATCATTTCTTTTGTTTCTTACTGCTGAGATGTATGAGATTGGGAACTATTGAAACTGTAAGAAAACTCTCACTGATGACAAAGAAAGATAAGGACAGGATCATAAACACTGTAAAGAAAAAGTATATCTAAGTGTGACTTCCTGCTGGACTAGTTCACTTAGGTGAACTATTAAATCTCTTCTACTGTTAAAACCACCATCTGGTAGCATAGTGCCTAAGGCACTTGACTGTTAACCAGAAGGCTGGCAGTTCAAACCCACCAGCCACTCCTCAGAAGGAAGGTTGGGCAATCTACTCTGGTAGTGATGTCGTTGTTGTTGTTATGTGCTGTCGAGTCAAACCCAACTCATAGCGACCCCTCCTTGGGTTTCCGAGGTAGTATCACTACGGAAGTAGGATTGCCCAACCTTCCTTCCGAGGAGTGGCTGGTGGCTTTGAACCGCCAGCCGTCTGGTTAGCAGGCAAGTGTCTTAGCCACTATGCTACTCTCGGAAACCCAAGGAAGGGTCACTATGAGTTGGGTCTGACTCGATGGCACATAACAACAACAATAACATTGTCAAAACACCTTGAGTCAGTTATTGTCAACCAAAAGAATCCTAACTGACAAACAGGTTTCCCTTACTTGCAACCAAAAGAGACTTAAGTAACATTCAATAAGGCAAGTTCTTTAAGGACTCTGTTGCTTAAAGACTTTGTATGCTGTTGAGTCAATTCTGGCTCAAAACAATCTCACGTAGAATCACGGGGTTTTCTTGGCTATATTGTTTATGGAAGCAGATTGCCAGGTTTTTCTCTTGCCCCTGGGTGGGTTCAAACTGCCAACATTTTGGTTAGCAGCCAAGCACTTAACCATTGCAACAATGTTGTTGTCATTGTTGTTATGTGCCGAGTCAGACCTGACTCACAGTGACACCTCCTTGGGCTTCCGAGGCAGTATCACTACGAAAGTAGATTGCCCCATCTTCCTTCTGAGGAGTGGCTGGTGGATTTGAACCACCAGCCTTCTGGTTAGCAGTCAAGTGCCTTAGGCACTATGCTACCAGAGCTCCCATTGCACCACCAGGGCTCCTTAAAGATTTACAGAGCTGGAAAACAAACAACTCATTCAATTCTGGTGTTCTAGCTAATCACATAGCAGATACAGAAGCTACTGTCTAACCAGCTAGAAATCCTTAAGTCTGAATAGTAAATGATAATGATCAAGTTAATTTTTCAATGAATGGTATAAAATGATAGTTTTGAGGAAAAATTTAGTAAGTTTGAAAAATCAAAATTTCTATCCATATTATTGCTATTCAGAGTTCAGCAACACTGAGGGCAGAGATGCAATCTTTAGGTGAACTATGCAACAGCACAATGATGCCAAATTTCCATATAATTACTAAATAGATATCCTGATTAAAATTCCAAACTCTTAATATAGAGTAAAGTATATAACTGTTGACATCAACATATCTATAATGGCTTGGGTATTTTCCTTAACTCCAAATTTTCTTTAATTATTCAAGAAATAGTCATAATGTTACCATAATGAACGAGAATAGCATTATTTTAAATAATGGATTATCTGTGAATATATACCTAGTTTGTCTAATTAAAATATACATCACTGATATGGCTATGG